CCCAAGGCCGATAAGGCCCAAACATAAAGCAAGCACTCTGGATAAAGCTCTCGCGCACATACTCAGAAGAGTAAATTACAAGATAACACCGATAACTTATTAGTCTAAGTAAAAAAGGTTGGTTGCACTTAAATAAAATCTTGAGTTTGAATTTTGTAAATAGAGAAACAGGTGTCGGAAAAGCTTCCCTTTAATAGGATTTGATGCGATTCGATTCCAATTTAGTCGGACCTAATATGATTATCGAATACTGAAAGATTAATAAAAAAAAAAAAACAAGATAACAGTGTTATCTCTAAAATCTCCCTTTCTGACTGCATGGCAGATAAAACTGCGAAGGCGTGCCACTCACTTTGCTCAGAGTGAGAAAGAGGGATTCCCGTGACCCTCACTACTTCCAAGCGTGGAACTCTGCTGCGAGTTGATCGAAGAGCACCGGTTAAATAAATTATGAGATGCATCGTGGTCAGACAATTGTCACAGAAACGGGGATGCATTCCTGCGTAAAGGTCCATAAATAATTGCTCTGAAAGAACATCAGGGACTTCCCACAACTAGGGCCAAAATGTTAGTTTGTTGATCAAAATAAAAGAGGAAAATAAAGGAAAGGAGAAGAATGAGAGTGCATAGCAAGAAAACTAAATTACAGAAAGAAAGCGTGATGCTGTTGCGAAAGCATGAAAATTTAGAAAACGAAATAAAAACTAAAGTGTAAAACTAAACTTAAAAGAAGCTAAAAAGATGAATTTTGGGATAAAGTGCAGTAAATTGAATTGCAAAAAAAACTAAATATATCGGGTGGAGATGTTCACAACGAAATAACAAAAATCAGAATTAAAATTTATGGCAGCGTAGAGTTAAAGATTAAATTAGAAAAGCTGTTTAAGAAAATTGGATTTAAACTAAAACATTGCTTGTAAAACTAAAATGTAGATAGCGCTGGGTTAGTTGTATGAGAGGGTGGTCCTCTTCGCTTCGTTTCTTCTCTGCATACTTATAGCAATAAACACCCCTTGGCAGCATGCTTGGAGATTTGCAGCGGCAATCTTAAAAAACCAATGACAGCGTGATATCTGAAACAAACAGATTAGTCTGTTTGTGTTACCGATTATCCTCCTAAAAGTTTGCAACAAACGAACGGCTTTGCTGTAAACGAACGGCTTTGCTGTAAACGAACGGCTTTGCTGTAGTTGTGGAAATAACCACTTAACTTTATCTAGAGAGATTTACTCCAACTACTTTCAACCAATGAAATTCTTGTCAACATGTATGACACGTGGCACCATTTTATTTTTTTGCAAAATTGGGTGTAAACAAACAGTGTCATCAATAAAATGTCATCATAGTTGGAGTAATTTTCTTATGGAAATCAAGACATGAATTGTAAATTGTTCTGCTCTTCAGATGGCAATTACATGTGGATCAAGATTTCAATAATATATTTTCTTTATCAAAAAAATGAAAATAAAAACTTGTGGATCAAGATTTATGAATTATATATATATTTTTTGGTTTCTTGTCCGGTATCCGGGGTTTCGTCTCAACTACTCCGGATTCGACCAGCTGTGGCGCACCAGAATGGTGGGTGGGTCTCCCAACAAAGGCTGCTGCGTACAAGGTTTCGAACTCGAGACTTTACTTAAGCTGGAAGAAGCCATTTGCCACTTGATCCAACCCCTTGGTTCTATGAACTATATATGGGAGTATAATAAGGAGGCTTACCGTTTTACAAGCTTCCGCTTACGCATTCTTGGGATACCAGGCATGCATTTTAATTAATTTTGATGCATGTGCTTGCCTGTCGTGCTAGAGGGTATTCCGGCACTGAGGTAGGAACTAACATGGGGGTTTCGTAATTTCTACCCTATTTATTATTAGCTCCATCATCATTGCTATATATTTAAAGGGCTCTCTGTAATAAGACAGATAACACATTAACACGAGAATGGAGTGTAAGAAACTTGTTCTTTCTTTGTGGTTGCAATGGCGGTGCTGCTCCTAGTCACTACTGTGACTCCTGAATTGGCCTCTCGTAACGAGATTGGGGGGAAGGATGAAAAAGGAAAGGAGAGCTGGTGGGGAGGTTTGAGTACTGGTTGAGAACTCAATGGACTGGGTTAAAGTGCAAACAAAAGGGGTGATTCCTGACTAGATCGAGAGTCAGCAAAAAGAGATTCATCTAAATGTGCTGCTGACTGAAGTCTAAGTCACCCTTAGTGCTTTTGGCAATGACAGTACTCAGAAAGTAAGAAGCAATTAGTTAAAACCTCATTTTTTTTATCCCTCTACTTTAATAAAAAGTTTTGTTTTTAGTTTTTTTATTTAAAAAAATTCTTTTTTAGTCTCTAAATTTAAGTTAAATATCTTTTTTTGTCCTTCTACTATAAGAAAAAGCCATTTTTTTGTCCTTATACCAAAAAAATTCTTCTTTTTTTTATCCTTACTGTTCACAAATCCGGCTTCTTTTTAGTCCTTCCGTTAAATTTTAGCTGACATGGCAAGTTAATTAACGGAAACACTAATTTCTTTTTTTTTTTATTAAATTACGTGGATTTTCCACGTGGCAAAAATCGATGACATACTAAATTTTTTACTTTTAATTACTAATATACCCTCATCTTCTCCTTCCTCCAACCTTTTTTTCTTTTACCTTTAGGCAAACCCAAGAGCCTGGGTTCGCAAAACCTAAAAGGCAGCCATAACAAACAAACAAAATGAACCAACCAGTGTTAATATGAAGGAGAAAAAGGCTCTTGGGTGCGAACCTGCGAGTTGGGTTCCTCGCGAACCCAGCTCGTGGGTTTGCACCTCGCGAACCTAGGCCGTGGGTTCGCACCTTGCGAACCCAGGCTCCTGGGTGCGAACCGACGAGCTGGGTTCGTAAGGAACCCAGGCTTCTGGGTGCGAACCCAGGCTCCTGGGTGTGAACCCACGAGCTGGGTTCGCG